GTACCCTTAGTTAAGTTATCGTCATTATACACCACACTGTGGAAAAATGCGCTATATAAATACAGTCCATTTACCATACACTATACCATAATTTCCGGTGGGGACTTTCATATTACAGTGGCCCATCCTAAGGTATCTGAAATTGCTTTAGAGTAATAATCATAATCTAAGCAAGTTTATTATTGATAAATATGAGATTTTCAGTTATTACAAGAAACATAAATTATTAAGCGATGTAAACCTTCAGTACATTCTTGACATGTTGACTCTTCAACAGGAGAGGCTGATGAAGTCAAAGAGGTTACCAGCGAAAGCAGCACTGACATTAGTGAACCATCTGCAAAGGAAAGTGAATCACTGATGGAGACAAGTCCAACATCTCAGAGTGTTTCTGCAAACACCAAACAAGGTGAGACTTTCATTTTCTTTTCCTTTGTACCTTTCAGCTAAATCTAAAATGAACCTTTTAGATGTTGCTTCAGTGACTTCATTAGTGACATAGTGATGTTGTTCTCTGTTGTTTCAGTGATCCCTGACCTCACACTTGTGTTGATTGGTGACACAAATTCCACTGAGATTGGATCAAACAACATCTTACTTGATCCTGATGAACAAACAGATGTGGAGCAGTTTTCATTCAGACTGTATGATCCGTGTAGTCGCCACATCTCTGTCATTAACATGCTTGGTCTACAAAACACTGACCAGTTCCCATTAAATCAGGGAGTTGATGCCTTTCTCTTACTGTTACCAAATGGTCAGCACAGCAGCCATTACAGTTCAACAGTTTCTTATGTCATGACAGTCGTGACTCATAAGTCAGATGAAAACTGTGACAATGCACTGACAGACCTGAAGTCCAGCAGCAGGTTTGATGAAAAAAGATACCACACATGTACAAGAAGCATGATGGATGGAAACGAGATAATAGATCTGTTGGAAAAAATAGACACCATGGTCTCTGGAAATGATCCACAGTGCTACAGTCGACTGATGTCTGATGAAAATCAAGAGCAGAAACAACATCAGGGCCAGAAATCCCACAAAGAAGAACAGAGCATTTCCTCAGTGTTTCAAAAAAACAGGTGAGATTTTAATGTTGACATTCACACATTATACCTACAGGTCTTCATCAAAATAATGTGGAAAGAATTTAAATTGTTAATGCATCAAAGCTTTGAATTTGAACGTTTGAAAGGGGGCGACTGATTCCTAAATGCAATCGTTGTGTTTCCCAAAGATCCTGGTGTAGTGGTTAGCAATAAACAAGATTCCAGAGGTAATATGTAATAGAACAGTATGTAGTTCATATTTAGATAATACTTGTGTTAGTTGTGTAAGGATGTAAGACTGAGCTCAGTGTGTACGGAAGCTTGATCTGTCTCTGGCGCAGGCAAGAATATCTTGGGCTATGTCCCTTGCTGCCCCGTAGGGGTCAACATCCTGAGTGACTTCCTCCTCAGATAGGGAATGGATATATTGTAGCTGTAGCCTTATGTGAACTGTTCGTGTGCTCTGTTCAGGTTTAGAAAAAGGAAATGTGTGCTAGGTCAATGTGACCTAGAAGGTCATGTACTGGACAGTTTAGACAATGCTAGGAAGAAGGTGTGTGTGGGTAGCTGGCATGGGACCGCGTCTTCAT